ACTAAATACTGAGTGCTGTACATGCTCATACTTTTCAGTTGGCCAACATTTAATTTTAAACTCAAACCATTGGAATACGCTTATTTTGCACACAAAAAACAAACAAACATTGTCTTCAGTTCACATGAAACCACCGCAAAAAAACACTGAATTTACATGAATGTGCTTTTTGTGTTTATTCATTCATATTATAGTGTATTTCACACTATCTCAGGGTTTAACTGCAACAGATTTATGCACAAATAACGTCTCAGATTTTTTGTTCTGCATGGTAGACTCAGGTGGGAAGAAACCACCTGCAGTGACATACGGTGGGAGGGGTTTCCCAGGAGTTCGACAGTGCGTCTCAAGGGGCTATGACAAGTGTGTGAAAACAAACGCAGAGTGACCACACTGAGCCTTAAACTGATTGATTGACAACCAAGGGGGAGGGACATCTATTGATTGATTGGAATTAAATGAAAGTTTGTTTGTCCAGTGACAAATTAAGTTTTGCTTCTTCTAATTTTTCGTAAACACTGAAGCGCTACTTTAAAKGAGCTCAGGAGATGCTGGTTGGAGACCCCTGGTGTAATTTTCAACCTTTGATGAAGTCTAAATTCTTAATCCAACTTTAAAAAACTGAGCAGTTTTGGAGTCAGGACATAGAGCCTTACAAGTAAAAAAGAAATAAAAACATCTCTAAAATAAATTTTAAATGTTTTATCTAAGTCCCTGCATCAACCAGAGACACGAATTCTGGTTTGTATTTTAGATTGTGACAGTCCTACCTTAACCTTTGACCCCTGATGTTTCCAGTCTGGTGCTGGATGTGCAGGTAACAGCTCAGGTGTGTTCTACCTGTTYACTGCTGATCCTACAAGGTCCTGATGGGCATCTTGGACCCTGCTGGGGGGCTCATCTGATGGAGTCAGATTCAACTGGAGCTGATGCACCTGTGAACAGCAGCACAACCACACAAACATTATGATTTTTTAAAATGTGAACATTATCTACATTACATTAAAAAACAATCAATCCATAAACAGTGATGCAGAATTCATTGGAGACCTCTAACCAAACACAGCAGGTGGGCGCCATGATGCCGAAGGGCCTGCAGCCAGAAAAATACATTAAAACAACACCTACGATTCTGTGCTAAAATAAACACCAGCTTCTGTTGAACCCATCATATTTTATATCCATCCCTCTGTAAACATTCAACTTTTATTATTTTTATGCACTTTATGGTAGGATTTAGCACTCAATAGTTAGCTTAGCTTAGCTAAACGTGCTAACTGTTAGCATACCACTCGGTACTTTGCTAGTTTGTCCCATGCTTCTACAATACTTCACAGCTGAAACTCTCGTAGCGAAAGTGCAAATAACAGTTTTTGCACTTTTCCTAAAAAAAAATATATGTCTTTGTGTACTTCATGGCAGCTCGGAAAAAACAGAACTTCCTCCACAAAATCAGTTTGACGAGTAAAATAGACGTCAGAAAACCTTATTTTAACTGTGAGAAATATTCTGGTGTCCCAGTCAGCTGATCCTCCGTGYCTTTCTGTACGGTGATGAAAGGCGGCTCTTCGGGGACCTAACGGCTGTTTTTTTGGCACAGTGCTCACAGATCTATATGTTCCATCCATCGCCCGAGCATCAGGGACCCCCGGGGCTGCTAAAACCCTGCAGGGTGGGCAGAATCTAATAAAACGAGCTTGACGTTTTAATTGCATTTTCCTCATCAAGGGGTAATCTGCAAGATGGTTTTGGCGTTTTCTGTTGAGAGCAATAAGGCTGGTATTATGATCAGTCATTTCTTTGATAAACACGGCCTGATTAAGAAGAATATTGAGCTAAATGAAGCTCGCATCATCTGGCTTCATGTTTGTCTGTTTGGAGGGTTGATGTGTGAAGAAACTGGTGGAGCTMAACTTCAGATGAAGTAACGCCTCCCTGGAGTCTGACAGTGTGGTGAAGTGGTTTTAAACACTCTTAGGTTTGTAAAAATTAAATAATATAAACCTGTTTAATCCAGAATCCCTCCAAGCATCTCACTTCTGGATGATAATAAATCAGACACCTTCAGGAATAAAGTGAACAGAAACAGGAAGAGTCTTAATTTACAAATAAAGTAAAAATTCATAGGATGGATGGCTGGATGGATGGATGGATGGATGGATGGATGGATGGATGGATGGATGGATGGATAGCTGGATGGATGGATGGACGGACGATTATGGATGATAGATGGATGGATGATGGATGGATGATGGATGGATGGATGATGGATGGATGATGGGTGGATGGACAGATGATGGATAGATGGATGGATGGATGGATGGATGGATGGATGATGGATGGATGGATAATGGATGGATGATGGATGGATGGACGGACGATTATGGATGATAGATGGATGGATGATGGATGGATGATGGATGGATGGATGATGGATGGATGATGGGTGGATGGACAGATGATGGATAGATGGATGGATGGATGGATGGATGATGGATGGATGGATGGGTGGATAATGGATGGATGATGGATGGATGGACGGACGATTATGGATGATAGATGGATGGATGATGGATGGATGATGGATGGATGGATGATGGATGGATGATGGGTGGATGGACAGATGATGGATAGATGGATGGATGGATGGA